GCAATTAACCTGCTCATTTCATTATTAAGTGTCACCATAACTTGTATACTTGTTAGACATTGTGTCATTAGATAACAATGGTTTTAGCATTGTAGCTAGTCTATTAACCAATAATATTGAAATTTTTGTCAAAATATGATAACAACAGTTTCTACTTATATGTTTGTATATAGGGATATAAAATCTATTTTGGATGACCCAGAAGAAAACTGGTGCAAGGGTAAAAATCTTTGGTGGTTACAAAAGAGGAAGATGACCAAGAAAAAAATATAGTTCAATGTTTTCTGGAAAAATATATATATTTAAAGATGGATTTACAATCCTTGATTTAATCCGTATGAGGATTGAGTGAAAGCAAAAAGAAAAAGAAGTTAGTTGACCACTAGTGTTATCTTTGTCTGTAGGATATAATTAAGTGCGTTAACCCCTAAAAAGTAATGATCAATAAAGTTAGTGAAAATGGTTGACTTATATCAGATGGTTTAGAGTTATCTTTGTATGTAGCATATAACTAAATATGTTAACCGTTAAAAAGTGATGGACAATGAACCTATCTTACGGATCTTACATGCTTTTGTTAGCGTTGTGTTTATCCATGGCATATAACTAATTACGATAACTGCAAAACTGAAGAATGACTTAAAACTTACATTTACATAACGATTAATTTTTTTTGGTTCAAACACATAACAATTAAAATTTATTTTAACAATTACTTATTTAAGTATTCTCTTCTATCTTATCAGCTAGTTTACTTTTTAACTTTACATTTATCCGTAACAGATAAATGTTTTTGCTAACCGTTAACAAATTCACGAAACAATCTGACTAATGCTACATGTTCATGCTAAGTCCATCTCATTGTTGGTGTTTCCAACTCAAAATACATTAGTGTGTCTTTATGTAATTTTACATTAAATTACTATTTTTATACATTATCAAATATGATGTAATCATTTATTTATTCAATATTTACTAAGTTACAAATTAGGAAGAATACACCGTTTAAATATAATATATACTATCAGCGCTAACAAAAAATGTTATATGTTATTAGATATGTTATCTATTAACATTTTAACTATTCTTTAAATACATATTTTGTTTTTTATTTTAGAAGACGGAAATGTTTTAATTTTATTATCGGTAATTATATTGTACATCTTTTATTTCACTGAAAGATGTAGTATGGATAAAAGTTATGTGGTTTAGACCTATCTTATACTCACTGATCCTATTTGTAGACCTATGATTAAAAAAAATTCATAATCATCCTCTGTCTTTAGATAATAACACGTGTAGTAACTACTGATCCTATTCGCAGACCTATAATATTCATATGTATTCACTTTTTCTAACATTGTAGCAGATAATGGGTAAAATTAGAACGTTATGACGCAAATATCACAGCAACATACGCGTTAGTAACATCTTGTATACTTTCCTAATTATGCAACCGATCGTGTACATCAAACAAATTGTCTCATTGATACGAATAAATTAGAAATAACAAATTTAGAAATTGGTGCCAGTGCCCCTAAACTAGCTACTAAATTACATTATACCATTAACTTTACAAACCATATTTTATTATTTTTTTACCCCTATTATCTGATTTTCCTATGACACAAAACATCTGTTTTACGTAAGTGTACTCGTCTCTTACACATCGGTTCAAGCAGAATCACTCAAACTTTTTTATTTAAAACTAGGGGTTTGCCCGGGCTACGCCCGGGTTTTTTTTCTATAATTTTAATTATTTTTCTATTACAGTTTTAGTTTGAATATAATTTACATATACACATTATAATTTATTAAAAGTTTAAACTATTTATAGTAAATGTTTTTTTGTCTAATAAATTCTAAATGTTAAAAACTCATATTCTGTTGTGTTTTTATTCCAAATTATAGATGTAATGTAATGTGAATGAGTTAGAAATTAATTAAACCTTAATAAAATATTTTGAATTATTAAAAATTTTATGTGCAATAATGGTTATACTTTCTATTGATTTAATTTTTAATGACTTTAAAACATTGGGTTGTTGATTTTGTGTATGTGTATATATGAGATGTGTTTGACCGAGGTTAACGGGTACATATGTGTTTGTCCACACCGTATTGACGGCCACATCTAATCACTTGGTTGTGAGGCAGGATATTTTGTGAGACATAAGTTTGTTATCGTTTTAAAAAATATGAAAGTGTTTGTATTTAAGGTTATACTAGGTAGAGACCCGCGCAAAAGCGCGGGGTGAGATGAATAATATCAACCATAACATAAATTTCATTATATATAGTTTCTACTTTAATAATAATGTACAACAGTAAATATTGACGATAAATTTAAATGGATTAATAGGTGTCAAGATCTCAATTGATATATGTAGTTAGTATAAACCAGAAATTGATTTTTTTTTTCGTTTATTCAAGTACGGCATTTCAACATTTAGGTTGGGACGGAATGAATGAGACCGATAGGTTGATGTTATATAGAAGAACCAATGTTTTTCTTCATGGTAAAAGGCATTAATTAGAGGTACCAATGTTAGCACAGTTAATTGCATATGATAAGTATAGGAAATTAATGTATATACATAATAGGAAAAAAACCATGAATCGCAAATTTATTCTAATTTACATACAAATGTGGGATTGACTATAACTTGCCTTAACTAATCCTTCGATCACATAGTTTGCGTATACTATTGGTTAGAATTAATGCCATATATATGTTTATACAATAAATGGTTTGAATTTTTAGGGAACTATTTATACAATAAATGAATTTGATTTCTCTTCTAATTTCCACACAATTGTAGGTTTGACTCTAACTTTCCTTCACAATCCTTTGACTCTAACTTTCCTTCACTTTCCGTCTATGCCATATTTTTGAATTTGCTAAATGATGTAACCATCGGGTCTGTAAAAACATTTTATATCTTCACCCGAAAATCTCTTTTTCATATTTGACATATCTTAGCACGTAGTACATAAAATAAATAAGAATTGTTTTTGTTTGTTATTATAAACCTGTTCACATTGTATGGTAGAAATTTTCTAAAGTGCATGAGTACAATGTTTGTAAAAATAATGGGTTTTCGTTTTAATAAATGTGGAACAAATTGGGAATATAGAAAAGGTCTTTGTTAGCAAGTTCATGTGTTCTTGATGGATAAAAAAAAAATTCCCAGAAATTTGTTCACTTTAAAGGTCATTATTGATTTATTATATGTTAAATGTTGACTGAAGCATGAATCCTAAGAAATTGGTAAAATATAAAATGTCTTTGTTACCAAGTTCATGTATTTTAACTACCTTCTAATAATGTTTTCTATAGGTCCAAAGGAAGTTATAAATATAATCTGATTCAATGCGGTAGTCCACCGGAAAAACGTTAAGAACCTTACACAAAAATGTATACGTCGCCAAGATAGTAATAAATCAATGTAAGTCAAATGGCATCTCCTCGTAATTACTCTAGGTACAAAAGGGTAAATTGAAAGGACAGCTGAGAAGAGCTATCAAGTTGACACGTATACAAAATGGCATAGATGTAAATAAAGTATCAATTAAAGGTTGTTTTTTTATTTTGCTTCTCCTTTAATAATAAGAGGATTTATGAGGCATGGGCCGTTTAACTGATTACTGTATCGTAAAGGGGTCGGATTCGTTGACAACATGACCCTAAAAGTATTTTAAAAATGGCAGCGAGTGTGAAGCTTGGTGTTCTTAATGCAGTCAAATGCAGTCAAATGCAGTGAATTGTAAAGTTGTTGTTTTGTTAAAGTGGAACAATAATCAAAATGCATATGAAAAAACAGAAATAAGAATGACGATTCAACATGTTTGAATTAAATAAGAAATAAAAATCTCACTCGGCTATATGAAATAAGGGAAACTCAATTGATTATATCAGAGGATGTTTCTACATGTAAAAGCAGAGGGAAGCTATAGGCCACTGCCGTTAATGATAACCATGGGCATCGATAAGGCTTACATTCTTTGCGAAATAAATGCCTTGGTTTATCCGTACAGCTCTAGCTTTGTTCGCATTTCCTACATCGCAGAAGATCATAATGGACATAAACTTTTAGAACCCAGGACTATAATGATATTAAATATAAGGAGACTGATCCCACCTCTGTTTTCTACACTATCGTATGTGTTGGTTGCTGTAACAGAGATTCCAGGTTTCTATTCATCAGCAATTCAAGGAGACTGTGGCAATGCGCCTGGAATCTGAATTGATGTTTAAATGTGGATACTTAAAAATACTTGATTATTTTCTGTACTTTGGTGTTGGCCTATAGGAAGCCTAGGGGGACGCTGTTCAACTTTTTTATATGAACCTGGATTTAGACACATAAAAGCAATGAGAACCCACAATAAACTTGTTGGAAACCACCATTTCTTTTATGTGCTCGGGTCTCTTGGTGTGTTGCTCGAGCAGTCTTTCCCAAAAGCTCTACAATGTTACAACTTGAAGTTGGTGATCGAAGGTCTGCTTTTAACCAATCAACTGTGTGTTAGTATGGTGATTAAAAATAGTGAAACTGAACCTTTACTGGCTCCAATAGTTGTGCAGGGTTGTGGCCTTAGAAACTCCTCATTAACCATGACCGTCTTTCAATGTTTTTTCCAGCCATTGAATTGGGATGAATAATCTCAGCATGTATAGTTGTTTATTAATTTATCCCTTCTCATAAAATGAACTTAGTACCTGGTCGTTCACTGCCTATTTGCAACCAAGCAGTGGAGTTCGTAAAGAAGATGCTTTAATGCTTGTTACCACTCTATTGGAGCTGGAGCTTGGTTTCTGGCTGGTGGAGGTGTCTTTTTCTTGACCATTGCATGAAGTTGCCTTGTGAATGGTGTAGATGTTAGCTTCATAATCCTTATATAGAGGGATGCATCTATAGAGACAGAGTCAGGTCATGGGCAGCATAAGTGTATTCACTGAAATAGAACACATTAAGTTGTACATCTGAAGAAACTGCTTAGGCATTAAGAATATTTATCTGCGGCGGCTTTGAAGAAGGGCCACTAAGATGTAAAAGCATAGCATTAATCTCATCAGGAGTACAGAGTGTCCATGATACACAGAACATAAAAAATGTTGCAGCGTCAACATATTCATGCAACTGTAAGCAATTAATATATCTATTAACCAAAATGATTCCATAAGATGAGTGGTTTATATCTCACAAATCCCTGCGGAATAAGTTCGCAGCAGCTTCCATATATCAGTCACTTGGAGCTCTTTCATCAGCCATGAAAAATGTTGTTCCCTCAGTATTTGTAAATATTGCCTTGCTTTCTCCAAAATGTTCACTTTGTAGTCTCTACCGAGTCTGCCACATAAAAAAATTATAACCCAAATACATAGCATATGTGTTTAAGTCACTGAAAATGAAAACCAAATCAGAAGTTTGATTTAGCAGTGAACCTGAACGATCACTTTTGAACTGTCCGTAGTGATATCACAACTTATCTTCACCACTTTCTTTCATTAGACATTATACGTAGAGAAACCATTTAAGATTTACTAAACAAAGATTCACAAAACCCACTGTCAGCAGAAGAATTGAAGCTTCAATTTTGAAAGATAAATATTTCAGTTAAGCGGCCCCTAAAAGTAAGCTGAAAACCCGCAGGAACAGACCCTTGGACCACTGTTCATATCAACAAATGGTGAAAAAATTCAGAAAACATCAAACAAATCATAGAAACCTAATTACGTTTTTTTTCAATTGGTGGATATCTTTAAATTTAAAATTACAAAAACGTCAAGAGATTGAGCAGAAAATATGAATATAGGTCAAACAAATAACAGAAAACTCAATTAGGCCACCGTAATGTATTCGAAACCTGAAGAATTGGTGGATTTAAGGAACTCTAAAGCACAAAAACATCAAGAGATTCAACCAATCGAGAAGATAATTATATGTGTGCGAAAATAAACTTACATGCTCATTGATCAATAACATCTCGACACTCATCAGCTGCCCCTTTTGTTGATGTTCCTCGCTTCCCAGAATCTCAGAAAACGGACCTCCGCCGTGTTGGATCATTTCCCGGCTCTCAAGTCACCAATAATAGTGTAGGAATTAGCCATCTGAATCTTTCTTTCCACTTTCTAGTTTTGCAGATTTGTAGCTGGAGATGTAGGAGGTTTTAAAGAACACTAAGAGGTGGAGCGACGGATTTAAGAAGGTAGGATGCGTTACAGATAGCGAAGAGTGTTTATGGCTGTGAAATCTCAGCCACTACAGATGCTGCAAGAAGACGGAAGCTGGAAAATCCTAAACTCCCATGGACCACAAACGTAAATGAGATGTTGGGTTTAATTGGGCTTATTAGCAAAGCGTAAAAGTGACCCACACGAAGAATATTAAAAGAATCTTTCACGCGCGATCAGAATTTTCTGCGTGACATTCACATCCTAGCTGGCGTCTGTACACGTGGCAACAAAACCCCCATACTACAGAATGATGTGGATGCCTAGTGGTTTTCCGGCGCTACGCGCCGGGGTCGTACATTGTATTGTCTAATAAGCTGGAACTGCATTCTCTGATTGAATTTGTAAACCACGTTAAGTTGATGTATTCATATTTTGGCCTAGTCAACTTTGTATATAAGTGTTAGTAAGAAAGTACAGCTAGGTAAAGTAGCGAAGATTTATTGGAAGGTCATTGTATTTTGTAGTAATAGTTGTCATGGTTGATGTTTTAATTTTTATATATTTTACATTTCTACGTATGAAGTGTTTTTGGGGTTGCTGTTTTTTTGGATGATAAAGTGCGAAGTAGGAAAATAATTAGATGAAGACAAATAACTTAGTAGATTTAAAATAAAAAGAGAGAAATTCTAAAGTAAAGAAGATAACAAAAGTGCTATTAGAAATTAGAACCCACAAACTATTGTAAGACGTGCAAGAACCATAGATTACTTTCTATGCAAACCGGACAACTTATTTTGGTACAAAGCCACTGATCAATGCATCGTTGTAATCTCTGAAGCATACAATGCTTATCTCTTAAGTAGTTGGAGGCCTATTGGTACTCTCTAGATTGGTGATGGTGAGATCAACATCGAATCTTGATGTTGCGTTGGGGTTGTAGTGTATGATAGTTAGACTAACTTGGAGATCATTAGCTAAGATAATGTTGTCGTCTCTTACTTCATTCATCACGTATTGGGTTGTTTTTCAATAAAGTATGTTGAATTGGGGTGATGGATCACATGGTATGTTAACATGAATTTCATGCTCTCAACTATCGAATCATTAAAATACTTGAATTATTTGATTAAGTGTGAATAGTACATGGTTAAGAGACAATGTGTACTTTTTATGATATTATTTCTTTTTTCCAAACTAATTTTTTAAATTAGTCTTGATTATATATTAATATATTAATTTTTATTAGAACCTTCCATGGTAATATGTGAGAAAAAAATCACGAATAGATATTATTGAATTTTTATTATATTAATCACTATTTTATATTTGGTTATATTTAAACTGCACTATTTATATTATTTAAATATTTTTAATCAGATATAAACAAAACGTAAAATATAGAAGTTTCAGTAATATTTTAGATGAATTCAGGAATACTCCAGTTGGAAAACTATTTTTCAGGAGCATTGCTAAACCTGAGACAGTAAGAAGCATTCTTAGCCAGGCATTTGACAATACTGTTGTAAGTTGCATGATTATTTATCTTTTAAGTGAGCTTAAGGAATATTTGTTTGCAATTTAGTGCTACTATGATAGCTCAAGTAACGGATGAGCTAGTTGAGGCAATTCCACGGTCAGGTCTTGAGCCTGGTGCAGGTGATGTCGTCCTTGAATTCATCGGTTACTCTGGTCGACCGCTTGCAGATGATTTACTCCCACAGATCAAGGTGCGTTACTCTGATCTTACTCCTTTAGCCATAGTTAAAACCAAATTCTTTAAAGTTTTCACTGTTCATGTGAGCCAATCAAGCTTGGAGGAGCTTATGGTGATTTTGATGCGGTTGAAGAGTTTGTTGTTCTGCCTGAAACCCGCCACTGTCCTCATGTCTCTCCTCTCTCTCCAATGAAGTAACCCTCGATTCTTCTTCTTATTGTTGTATTTCTGTAAATTTTGTAGGATGAGAAGCCGGAAATGGTGAGTCCACTTATTGAATCATTAGTTTTGAGATATTCAAAGTCCAGTACAGTCCTGCTCCAGGCATTTGATCTCAGTTTCTTTTGAATTTTTGCATATCTGAACAGAAACATATCATCTGAACCAGCATGAAATGTCTACATGTGAGAACTCAGTGTGACAAAACAGTGACTGTATGCATATATTTGATGAAGTAGAGAGCTCAGATAAGGAAAGAAAACCTTTTGCTCCAGACTTGCTATCAAAATAATAAAAACCTGCACTCATTTTCTATAATTCAAAAGCAGGAGAATCTTATCTACAGCCGAACAAAACAAAACAAAGATCTAATTAAATACGTCTTTTCACGTCGTTTACCATTTCAGTAGCAACATGCTCTTTCTTTTCCTACCACTATCATCTGACCAGTACACACCACCTGAGACATCCTTCATAGGTTTGTTGTTGACGAAATCTTTCCCCCAAATACTTGTCTGATACATTCTTACAGCCTGTATAACAAAAAAAGAAAGATAAGAGATTTATTTTCCATGGGACTTTGTTGAAAATATTATCACCCCTATTAGAAATCTGAAACTTCTCAGATCTTAAAGTTTTTTACTTTACCAGTAATTTATCTCACGTGATTCTGAATCTTGTTCCTCAAAGTCTCCTAACACAAATTTCTCTGGTAAACTTTAGGTGTTGATCGGAAACCTGAAACATGTTCAGACAATAGCTAATCAGGCCTGATTTTTTAAACTGGGTTTGTTTACGGGGTTGAATGATGTAAAACGGATCCTATAGCCAGTTAGGATAATCTATAGATGACAAATCAGTTTATCATCAGGATCCAGAATTCAAAGAAATCAAGCTTTTACCTCTGTAGTTGTCTTCTTCTTGAAAGCGTTAATACACGGTAAAATTCAAGACTTGATAATTCACGGAATATTACAATGATACAATCGTCACAACAAATTATTATTATATCAAATCTAAAAGTTGACAAAAAAATCAAATTTAAAAGTCTTCGTCGAGAGAGAGCATATGATTATCAAACGCGCCACCTCCATTAACGCTCGACATAACAGAAGCCTTCTGGTAATCACCAACTCTCTTCTCGAAGAAGTTTGTTTTACCCTGAAGAGAGATCAACTCCATCCAATCAAACGGATTCGCCACAAACTCGATATACTGACTCATCAGGTCACGGTTCATCCCCACCAGCGCGCACGGGAGCGCGTAGAACACAAACTCCCTCTCGATCTCGACGGCGTCTCATCGACTTAACGCGCTCCTCCGTGAGTTTCGTCCTCAGGATGGTGTAGATCAGGCAGGCGAAATCGCAGAGCAAAGCCGTCGTCTCGAGAGATCAATTCGTTGGAGAAGGTCAAACCAGGCATAAGCCCTCGTTTCGTGAGCCAGAAGATCGAGCAGAAGCTACCGGAGAAGAAGATTCCTTCGGCGCAGGCGAAGGCGACGCTCCTCTCCGCGTAGGTCTGATATCCATCGATTCACGTCACCGCCCACTGAGCTTTCTTTTGCGAAGCAAGGAACGCGTGGGGGAAGAAGTAACTGTGATTAAATGCTCTGGTTCGACGACGAAGATTATAGAAAACCCAACGAAACCAAAACGCGTGACTTACACAAACCAATCAGCGCGGTGGCACGTGGCAAGAAAACCCCCACCCTCCATAGTGATGTGGACGCCTAAAAAGGCAGATAACCCAATTTTATTATTATAGATACAGATTTGAAGTCAAATTAATTTCTAAATCCTCTATATTATCTCTAACCTAACCTTAATCACTTTTCTATTCAGCTAAAACAAGTGTATGTCTTTTGTAAAGTTTAAGTTTCTCAGTGACAACAAATGAATTTGAAACTGCAAAGTGAGGTATTCACTCTCCCACTATGCAATTAATTGTGAATGATTACTTTTTCCTTTTTATTCTTTATATTTGACAAATCATGTAACACAATTTTTTTTTTAAATGGAAGATCTTAGATTGCATATGAAATATTTACTTCTGAAAAGTTAGAACCAGCATGTGAAACATGTCTACTCATACCAGAAAATCAAATAACTGAATTAGTAGGTGAGCCAATCTTTCTATAAACCAATCTTTCTTTGTTTTCGTTGACATGTAAATATGATTGTCATGTTGCTTTTATCGATATGGTGATTATATGATTGTTATGATTGCAATTAACCTGCTCATTCCATTATTAAATGTCACCATAAATTGTATACTTGTTAGACATTGTGTTATTAGATAACAATGGTTTTAGCATTGTAGCTAGTCTATTAACCAATAATATTGAAATTTTTGTCAAAATATGATAACAACAGTTTCTACTTATATGTTTGTATATAGGGATATAAAATCTATTTTGGATGACCCAGAAGAAAACTGGTGCAAGGGTAAAAATCTTTGGTGGTTGCAAAAGAGGAAGATGACCAAGAGAAAAATATAGTTCAATGTTTTCTGGAAAAATTAAATATCTATTTAAAGATGGATTTATAAGCCTTAATTTAATCCGTATGAGGATTGAGTGAAAGCAAAAAGAAAAAGAAGTTAGTTGACCACTAGTGTTATCTTTGTCTGTAGGATATAATTAAGTGTGTTACCCCTGAAAATTAATGAACAATCAAATTAGTCAACATGTTTGACTGATATCAGATGGTTTAGAGTTATCTTTGTATGTAGCATATAACTAAGTATGTTAACCGTTAAAAAGTGATGAAAAATGAACCTAACTGACTGATCTTACATGCTTTTGTCAGCGTTGTGTTTATCCGTGGCATATAACTAATTACGATAACCGTGAAATCAAGGAATGACTTAAAACTTACATTTACATAACAATTAAAATTTTCTTTTGTTCAAACACATAACGATTTAAATATATGTTAACAATTACTTATTTAAATATTCTATTCAATCTTATCAGCTAGTTTATTTTTTAACATTACATTATTCCATAACAGATAAATGTTTTTGTCAACCGTTACCAAATTCACGAAACAATCTGACTAATGCTACATGCTCATGCTAAGTCCATCTCATCGTTGGTGTTGCCAACTCAAAAATACATTAGTGTGTCTTTATGTAATTTTACATTAAATTGCTATTTTTATACATGATTAAACATGATGTGATCATTTATTTATTCAATATCTACTAAGTTACAAATTAGAAAGAATACACGTTTAAAAATAATATATATTATAAGCACTTACAAAAAATGTTATACGTTATTCGATATGGTAGCTATTAACATTTTAACTTTTTTTTTAAATATGTGATTTTTGAAGACGAATTTTTTTTTTTAATTTTATTATCGGTAATTATAATGTACATCCTTTATTTCACTGAAAGATGTAGCGTGGATAAAAATTAAGTGGCTTAGACCTATCTTATACTCACTGATCCTATTCGCAGACCTATGATTAAAAGAAATCGATAACCATCCTCTATCTTTAGATCATAACACGTGTAGTAACTACTGATTCTATTCGCAGACCTATAATATTCACATGTGTTCATTTTTTTGACATTGTAGCGGATAATGGTAAAAACTGGAAAGTCATGATGCAAATATCACATCAAGATACACTTTTGTCACATCTTGTATACTTTCCTAATTATGCAACCGTGTATATCAAACAAATTGTTTTATTGATATGAATATATTGGAAATAACATATTTAGAGATTGGTGCCAATGCACCTAAACTAGCCACTAAATTGTATTATACCATTAAATTTACAAACCATATTTTCTTTTTGTTTTACCCCTATTATCTACCTTCCCTACGACACAAAACATCTGTTTTACGTCAGTGTACTTGTCTCTCACACATCGATTCAAGCAGAATCACATCGGTTCATTTAAAATACAGATTTTGAAGTCAAATTCATTTATAAATCCTTTATATTATCTCTAACCTAACCCTAATCACTTTTCTATTCTGCTCAAACAATTCTATGTTTTTTTGTAAAATTAAAGTTTCTCATTGACAAAAAGTGAATCGGAAACTGCAAAGTGAGGTATTCCACTCTCCAACTATGCAATTAATTGTGAATTATTAATTTTTCCTTGTTATTATTTCTACTTGAAAAATCATGTAACAAAATTTTTTAGATGGAAAATCTTAAGATTTGAAGATGGTATATTTGCTTCTGAAAAATTAGAACCAGCCTGTGAAACATGTCCACTCATACCAGAAAATCAAATGACTGAACCAGCATGTGAACCAATCTTTCTTAGACCAATCTTTTTTTTTTTTCCGTTGACATGTAAATATGGTTGTTATGGTTCTTTTATCGATATGGTGATAATGTGATTGTTATGATTGCAACTAAACTGCTCAATTTATTATTAAATGTCACCATAACTTGTATACTTGTTAGACATTGTGTTATCAGATAATAATGGTTGAGCATTGTTGCTATTGATCACAACAGATTCTATTTTAAATGTTTGTATATAGGGATATGAAATCTATTTTGGATGACCCAGAAGAAAACTGATGCAAAGATACAAATCTTTGGTGGTTGCAAAAGAGGAAGACGGCCAAAGGAAAAATATAGTTCCCTTATTGGTGAAGTGTATGTTTTGAGTAATTCTTGGGTTCACCAACCAATAGGATTACAGTATTTTATATCTAGTATCTTTTTTAAAAGGAAAAAAATATTGTCGAGTTATATTATGTTTTTAAAGATAAAAATAAAGAAAAATAATAGTAGTTGCAAATTTTTTTTCTTTTTTAATATTATTATTAAAACACTAAACCCTAAATCATAAACCTTAAAACCTTTTTGTAAACCCTTAACTCTTGGATAAATCTTTAACTTTTTAAAAAATATTTGTAATACCGTCAGCAAAACACTAAACCCTAAACCATAAATTCTAAACTCTAAACCCTAAATCCTAATCCAAGGGTTGAAGATTTATCTAAGGATTTAGGGTTTATGATTTAGAGTTTAGTGTTTTGCTGATGGTATTAAAAATATTTTTTTGTTTGCAGCTACTATTAATTTTTATTTATTTTATCTCTTAATTTTAAAAACATAATATATCTCGATAGTATTTTTTTCCTTTTTAAAAAGATACTAAATATGAAATACTGAAATCCTATTGGTTGGGGAATCTAGAGGTTTACCCTAGGGGGTGAACCCAAGAATTTCTAGTATGTTTTTATAGAAAATTTTGTTTTAAGATGGATTCACATGCCCTGATTTAATTCGTATGAGGATTGAGTGAAAGTAACAAGAAAAAGAAGTCAACTGACCACTAGTGTTATCTTTTTCTGTAGCATATAATTAAATGTGTTAACCCTTAAAAAGCAATGAACAAGCAAATCAGTGAATATATTTGACTGATTTCAGATGGTTTAGAGTTATGTTTGTATGTAGCATATAACAAAGTATATTAACCGTTAAAAAAAGTTATGAACAAACTAATTTGAACCTATCTGACTGATCTTATACGTTTATGCTGTTAACCAGAGAGTAATGAGGTAAGATAAACCTGGACGTCTATTAGCGAATGGATAAACCGAAAGTTTGAACAAGAGCTGTTAGACAACCTATTCCCGAGCTGACAAAGATACGACCTGTATACCATAGGAAAAGAAACCTGACAAAGAGACAACATGTATAACACATGAAAAGAACGCCAGTAGACAAGGATAGTGTCACCCGTGACCACAAGAGCAGTATCACCATCACTGAGCTTCCTTGACATCCTTGAAAGATTAACCTTCAGATCAGCTCTTAGAAGAGCCCTCATGAGACTTGATATAGACCCGTCAAAACCCAAATCCGGCGGGCTCAGAAGTTTAGAGGCACCATGACCAAACGAGGAAGATTCTGTAGGAGAAACAGAGGCCGGCAGATCTGAGAAGAAAACTCCGAATCACAAACCAAAAGACCCACCATCGGAGAGCAAGAAGAAGAATAAAGGAAGAGGAGGGAGAAAGGAGAAGAGATTCTTACCAGCGAGCGTGAGGCTCGCCGGCGGCTGTGGCTACACTATCAAAACCCTAATCACCAAAGGAGGAGAGAGGTGAGAGCAGTTATATTCAATTTCCATAAATAAAATTGAGTTTTTTGATTAAAAAATTAAAAAAAAAAATCATTTTTTTATTAGAAAAGTAAAACAAAAAAAAAGTTATTTTGGAACTCACGCCATCTTCTCCATCCTTCACAAAAAAGCTCACAAAAAATTCACATTGGTTCTACCATGATTCATATATATGCTTCATGTGGATTTTGGGAATTGGTTGTAGCTTCAGGTTGGAGTTTTTCTGTTGATGAAAAGAAAAGGGGAAGGTTACTTACTTTAGAATTGAAGTGCTCTTTGGAAGAATTACAAAAAACTATTATTGAGGATTTTTGTTTTGAAGAAAGAGATGCCGATTTGGAGTTGAGTTATGTACCTATTGGGTTGATCAATTCATCAGAATGTCCACCGGTGATCACTGGAAACTCACGGCAAGTTC